CTGTCCTTCAATTGGAGAAAACTCCCTACGCGCCCCGCGGGTGCGGAAAAAGGAGGTGCGACATCGCCATTTCAAGCCTAAATTAGCTACGGACCTCTAAAACACAATCTGATCACGCCTCTAAGCTCGAAATACCCAACGGAGCTAACAGAACCGTTGGATTTCCATTCCGAGGTCGTTTTCATACTGTTCTAACGACGGACAACTTTCCAACACTTTAGCTCTCATTCTGGGACTAAGTGTCCCAAAACTCCCCGAAACTCAAAATCGAATATCACGGCAAATCAAAATAGTAGAAATAAACTCGGAAAAGCAATTAATAGGGGAATCAAGGCATTAATTCTTAAGACGATCGGCCTGGTCGTCACATCTTTTTATAGTCACAAAACTTGATCGCTGCCAAAAAAATGAATAAACTTCTCTTAAAGTTGCTAAATTGCTCTACACAAACCATTATCAGACTATGAAAACAAATATGCATGAGAAATTACATATCATTTTGATACACCAGTAAATTGGCTCTAACGGCAAACTAATGTCAGCCCTCCATTGATCCAGCCTCTTCCCCTAATCATCATAAGGCTAAAGAAATCAAAATTGACAACAACTTATGCATATGTTGATCAAACTAACAATTTTCCTTTCAAAGGCATCCAACTGAATGAATGAACTCTGATATCGAAAGATAAAGAAAACCTGATTTTTTTAAAATTATGACTTATTTCATCTTCCAAGCAGTAGTTATGATATTAGCCCCAGGAAAATGAGAATAAAAGCCATTAATACTCCTCAAGACAACGGGGATAAAAATAAATCACAAACACTTAAAAGATCGAGAAGATAGAAATATGCATAACAAATTTAATAGAAATGGTAATTCATTGAAGAATTTATTCAAACACTTAGAGAAGAGAAGTCATTGGTAGTAATTTTATACCTTCAAAAACCACCACTAACTATTAGCACGTCTAACGGAAAGATGAGAATAAGAACTCCTGAATTTGTATATATATAAATTTGTTATGAGCTGATAATTTAAAAAGAAAAAGAAAAAGAGAAAGAAAAAGAAAAGAAATGAAAATAAAGAAAAGCATTCACATTCACAATCAGTCCCAGTAAAGATGATTACCATTCATAGCGTCTATAATACATTCGTAAAGTTATGGCAATTTGCTATATATCTTGTAAAACAATAGTATAAAAACATTAAATTTAACTTAAATACAATTATTGATTTTACATAACAAAGGCGCTGGCCTCATACTGGAAAATGACTTGGAGAACTTAGCTAAAAGGGGAAAAGGATAAAACGGCTTACCAAAAGACACAATTTTCAAACCTGTATTTTAGGTAAATTTGAGTCTAATTAGTAAATTGAAACTGAAAAATATCTTGGGAAACTTACCGAAAAGGAAAAGATAAAAAAAGCGCAAATATAAAGACATAATATTTAGATGGATTAAATCAAGAATTCAAGAAATGATTAAAACATTGATTATTACTGTAATAAGATCTATTAATTTTAGAGAACAAAAAAGAATCAGAATACTATGAATTACCAGGGGATTAGCTGATTTATAAAAAACTTTTAAGAGCTGATTTACAAAAAACTTTTACCCTTACATGAGAATTTGTTGTATCCTTTTCTTTGATTTGGTAACCTCGACCAAAATCATAGTAACACACAAAATACCATCAGTAAAATAAAATTATCCTATATAATAATTACCTTGAAATAAGTAAAAAATTCAAAATAGAACTTCTCAAGTAGCAGTCGCTATAACCTCTGATTAGCAGACAATGTATTCTTCAGAGAAACCCAACAGGAAAACCAAGCAAAATATCAAAAGAGGATCTTTCAATTGAGTAGACACAGCAACATAAAGTCCGAAGTTCACAGAGAAAAAGCTAAGGTAATCCAAAAACAAAGTTATGGAGAAGAGAGTATCTGCAGGTTTATAATTTTCTGTGATATACGAAAATACCTTGGAGCTGTCAATCTACGTGTTGCTTTGTAACTATAATGAGTCAACCAAGATATAAAACCTATCATTTTTAGAGCTAACGCAACAATGAAAGGTCAAAAGTGGGCTTTGAAAATACCTAAAAGTTTACTTTTATAAAACCCGTCAGTTTTAGAGCAAAGGTAACAGTGAAAAGTCAAAAGTAGGCTTTGAAAATGCCTAAAAAGTTTACTTTATTTACAAACTGGTGTGATGACAGTTGATGTAATAATGTTGAAAAGCAGGGTTAAAAGTATTATGGCTGAAGCTGGCATGTCGACGAAGAGCAGGCTGCTTCACCTGCTCCTACGGTGCTTCTTATATAGGAGAAATGTAACGTCACATCCTTGATCGGTCTATGCCATTCGCCGAGTCCGAAACCTAAATGCCAATATTTTAGACTTAAAATACATTTTTACAGTGTAAAAAAAGTTACTTTTCTATATAAACGCGGTATTATACCGCGTTTTACTTTAACGGAGTTTTAGCCGTTAAAGTAAAACGCAGTATAATATCGCATTTTATATAGAGCGCGGTATAATACTGCGTTTTACTTCTTTTTGGTCCCACCAATAAGTGTTCTGCGGTTAACTGACATAACAACATAATTCAAATATATAAAGCACAGTATTATACTGCGTTTTACATCAAAAAAATTTGCCTCCCAAGCTAGGACGTGCCTTATTTAAAGGTATTAGGATTTTATGAAAATCCATTCAAAAAATATTCTAACTTCCGTTCAAACTTTTCTTCTTGTTATCAAGCATTTTTTATAATGTCTTAAGATCCAAAAATAAGGGTTCATTATATTGGGAGGAGGGGGGGGTGAGGTTGTAGCGGAGAATAACTCTGTGAGTTATAGTTTATCTCCATAGTGTCATATTAAATTGCCGCTTACAATGGAGTACGATAAATTGGTATCGTTGATATGTAAAAGAATGAGTGTGAGAAAACGTTCAGTGAACCTTAAAGTAACCGGTAGATATCCGTATTTTGTGACTCCGCAGGGGTTTGCTTTTTATTCTGAGTTTAACATCGAAGATGATGAAACCCTTAGAGATTTTTTGCGGATTTCGGATGAATAGAGATAATTTATTGTGATAATATTGTTGGAAATGTACGTCAAGGTTGAAGACGTTCCCAATAATGAGGTTTTGTATAGTAGGGATAACCCCCAATCATCGGGTGGTTATTTTAGAGCAATTTTTACCGGACAGATTCCTAATGAAAGAGTTTGCCTTGATTTAAACTTATCACTACCGGCGAATGAGCAGCGAAGAAATAATTTTTTAACTTTACATAATCCATAAGACGACTGGTAAACTTTAAATATTTCTACGCTTTAACGATGTTTATTTTATATTGAATTGGATTTGTATTAACACTCATATTTTTCAAAGGGGGTACCATCCGGATATGAATTTTACAAGTTATGACCCCGCTCCTAGTTGGAATATGTGTAGTTCTGGCGTGTTGGATCATGGTGGTCCATCCGGGAGTCATCACCAACAAGAAAATGTCCATCATGGAATATCAACACAGTACGGTTTGTAAGTGAAGTGATATAGCTATATGTAAAGTATTTATCAATTTGAGTAGCTTATCATTTTCTTCTTTTTGTGCAGTGAAAACGAGCAACTTGATGTTCCTGACCTCACACAGTTGCCCGTAAACGACGTATTGACTCATGATTTGGCAGATGCGCAGAGTTAGAAAGATGATAGTGATTATGACAATAATGCCGATGAGTCTGGAGATGACACACCCTTCCCTGATGAGGGTGATGATGAGGAGGAAGTAAATGTCGAACCTGAGCTGACGAGGGAGCATGCTCCTCCACCTCCCGTTAGACCAAGAGTGTACGAGTCCTACGTGTCGTTTCATGAGCGGAATATTCCATACCTTGATAATTTTCCAAGTATGCCAGATGTGGATGCCCTCACAAGGGATGCTGACGAATTTCGGTCAGCAATGTGGGATGAGTCTAGACCAATGGTGCTGGGAAAAAGGCATGTATTTTCCCGATAAATCTAGCCTAAATAGGGTTGTAAAAATCTATAGCATAAGAGAGTGTCGTGAGATGACGGTAAGGGAGTCAACTCCGGAGGTATACAAGGCTGTATGCTGTAGAGACTTTATGGGTTGTAACTGGATGTTGCGTGCGAGCAAGAAGAAATCAGGGTTGTGGAAAGTGGGTAAATATATTAGCACCCACAGATGTGAAATGGACACATTCAATGAGAATCACTTCAACTTGGATGTAGACTTGATTTATCTTGTCTTGATTCCATACTTGGAAGTATCCATTAGGTTCAAGATCAAAGAGTGTATTATATCCATCCACCAGGAATGTGGGTGTACTATAACCAAAAGAAAGGCATATCTCGGGCGCAAACGTGCTTTTGAAATTATTTCTGGTGATTGGGATAAGTCATTTTCATCTTTACCCAAGTACATGGCCGCACTGAAACACTTTAACCCCGGGACTGTTGTTGAATAAAGGCATGAGCGGAGTCTGGGAAGACCGGAATATATTTTTAACTAAGTGTTCTAGTCATTTAAACCAGCAATTGATGGTTTTCTGCATTGCCGTCCGGTAATTTCCATAGACGGTACTCATGTCTATGTAAAGTATGATATTAAGCTTTTGATCGCAGTTGTAGTAGATACCAACAGACAAATATTTTCACTAGCTTTTGCCATTTGTGCCAATGAAAGCGGAGAGATGTGGACACTTTTTTTGAACCACTTGAAGCAGCACATTGTCAAACAGCGTTCAGGTATTTGTCTAATATCTGATTGGCATGGTGTATTTTAAGTTCTGTAAGGTAATTGCCTGAATGGCAGGAACCCTATGCATACCATTGTTACTATGTGAGGCACCTGAAGGCCAATTTCCAGAAGAAATATCACGACAAGACCTTGCATGATTTAATGTGGATGGCTGCAACTGACCACCAGCACTGCAAATTCACGAGGCGCATGGAAGCGATCCGGAAATTAGATGCACGAGCCTATACTTGGCTGATGGGACATGAGCTTCACAAGTGGACATTGCATGCTGATGGTGGCAGAGGACGGGGAGCCCTGACTACAAATGTGTCGGGGTCATTCAACGACTTATTGTAGTCTGCACATGGATTGCCTATCACTGCCATGGTCCGGATGACATTCAAAAAGATTGCGGAGAGGTTTATTAAAAGTCATTGTAAGCACGTGATTTTTGCCCTATATGAGAATTACTCCCAAAAAATTCAAAAATAAAATAATTTTTCTTGGTGTGCAATTTTGTGATATTTTTTGATATTTTGTGTAACTATTTGTATGTTTGTCTATGCATGTTTATTTGTTAAATTAATAAAAAATACAAAATATGTCGCATTTTGCATGTAGGATTTAATTCTACAATTGTTAGTAATTAAATTTGTTTACAAAAATTAAAAATTACAAAAATAGGCATCTTTTGCATTTTTAGCATTTAATGTCCAAATGAACAATTTTATGCTTAATTATTACTTAATTGTGCGTTAATTGTTATTGGAAGTTAATTTGCGCTTTTATAACTTAATTTAGTTCTTAATAATAATTTAAGTACTTTTATAATTTAGTTTTAGAAAAATAAAAGAAGAAAAGAGAACAAAAATACAAAGAAAAATCGGATTGGGCCACTTCTTCAATTTCAAACCACAGGCCCAAATAATTGCCCAACTTTCCCCATGACCCGGTCCACTTCAAACCGGGTCGACCCAGTCCGCTCCATTAACCCAACACCCCTTCTTCATTTTTTGTCCAACACAAAACAGAACCAAAAAAATAAAAAATAAAAGGTGAATTATCACTATTAATAGTTTTATTTTTTATTTTTTTTATATATAAAAAATCCGAAAATATTTTATTTTATTTTTATTTGTTTATTTTTTTAAAAAAAAAACAAAAACAAGATATATAATAATTTCGGGAATGATTTAAAAAAAATAAGAAAAGGGAAGTATTGAATAAAAAAAATATAAAAGTAAAAATAGGTGAAATTTTCTTTTTTTTTTTTAAAAAAAAGTAAAAGAATGTAGAAAATTTAAAAAAATAAAAAGTTTTGTGGA